TAACTCCACATCAATTCCAACGTGCAGAACTTGGATTTGAAAGGTTTTACGTGTATGAAAGTTGAGCTTTACTGTTTTATTCTTTACTTCACATGTTATAGCAGAATATCGCCAGTGATATTGATCTAAAACTAATAATAAAACACAAACGTTTGCTTGAAAGCTGGTCGCTGACAGCAGTGTCTACTCCTCCCTCTGAAAGCAAACAGATCCTTGTTCTTTTCCACACGTTCATTAAAATAATCTCTCATTGTTACACAGTGTCCAAATGTTCTCATCCCATTGGAAACTGTTGTAAACCATATACTTGTAATAAAAATGAAATAGAAAATGGAGGTACGGTAATTTCGCATTCTGCTTACTTTTTTCCATATAGTCAGAGAAACAAACTAAATCCTTTAGTCCTTCCTTTAGCTATGCTGCGGTTATTTACACAACGCCTTTTCCACCAAAAATGGCGTCTTAGCAACAAATGTCACGTGACTGGCGGAGACCGACGTCTGCTTTTCTGAGGATACAAGTTGTTTACCACATCGTTCTAATCTGAAAAAACAAAACAAAACAGAAATTAATTCATTAGATATGTCTGTTGATTTTTTTGGCGAACAGTTTTGTTACGTTAGGAATATTTTTTTTGCCAGGCATCAACACAGCCACCTAAGCATCAGTAACATCTGCGGTGCGCATAGATTCTAACCAGTTAATCTCGTCCCCAGTTGATCTGTCACACCGGCCTGCCATAGCGCTACAGTCCAGTCTACCATGCAGCAACACTGATAATCGAAGGATATTATAAAGAACGAAGTAACCCAACAGTCTAAGTTTTATAGAGTGGGAGGAAACTAAAAGAATACTAGTTTCTAGATTAATCAACTTCACTTCGTAACTAGTGTAACCAGATTGAAAATGTTTCTCTGGTTACGGAGTGACGTCATTTCACTCAATGACACAAACAGAACCGAGGATGGGTTTCATAGTTCTGATACCTAGAACCAAAGATCGAGACTGGTCTCCGTTTAAGTCCAAAATAAAACTTACCAGCAGAGATGGAGATGAAGCGAGCAGAGACCAGAACCCCCCACACCATCGCCGCGTTCACTGCCGCCATCTTCTCTACACTCGTTTCCGTGTTTCACTTGAACTCAGTCCCAGTATACCGTTATCTGGGTGTGTCCTCGTTTCCTAGAAATAAAAAACAGGAAAATCTAAACCGATCAGTTTCAGAATATCATTGATGCTTAAACCAAAGGGTTTTGTCTTAAAACCACAAAAACATTTACTTGAAACAGTATTATTTCTCGGAAATCATACCTAATAGTACTGACGTAGACATCGCTTTGACCATATATGTACAACAGCGGTTCTCGTAGATATAAATGGGACTACACCGGAAGCGGACGTGATACGTTGAAAGGCAATCAGCAATCAAAGAAAGCTTGAAAAGAGTTTTAATATAAATATTTTAAACTCATTTGAAAAAAACTAACCAGAGCTTAACGAAGCTATTATCAAGGTTAATTAGATTTAATAAAGTTTATAAAAATAGCTAAATATACAGTTTTAAACGCCTGATTATAGCTTAATTTTTGTACGATTATTGAACTCATCCAACAAAGATCCAACTGCACACCTAAATGGACCTGACTCTCCTAGCTTGCAGGGCATACCTGGTGTCTATATACCCTAATAAGCATTATAACCCTGGCCTGTAAAACAGAAGTCAAGGTGGGGAAAACAGAGCAGTGATGCATTCAAGGGCACAAAACGGGTTTATAGCTTTATTATGTAAACACTGTGTCCAGCTAATAAACCACCCGGTTACATTATGTGTTGTAGGAGCCAATTATCCATTGGTGTTTGTCGCCACCAGGGGGCGTATTATATTTTGAGTTCTGAGTGTTTGATGAGGGGATGGGTTATTTAAGGTCAACCATCAATTCTGTTCAGGTGTGGTTAATAGGCTGAGGCAAACAGTTTTCT